TTCCTGGGGCGGCGCACCTGCAGCTGAAAAGCTGACAATCTGCAGCTGTGCCAAACAGACCCTAAGTGTGCGTGTGCGTGTGGATGTGAGTTGGACAAGTAGAAGGGCATATTAAATGAGACAAAAATACAACAGCTATATCATGAATAATACCTATAAGTAGTATAATAAAAACATACAGCAACAACAACAACAAAGACTTAATCCCCAACAACAACAAAGACATACAACAACAACAAAGGCTACATGAATCATTTTTCTCCATTGCGTCCTATTTAGTGTCATATTTTCATTTAGTTCTAATAAATTAAGATCATTTTTTTATGCAATGAGCCCACTTCTTCCTATGACTGCCTCTGTCTTTCTTAACATAAGTCAAATCTAAAACATCTACTCTCCTAATCGAATCATCTAATTAATCGAATCATCAGATGGTCGACGCTTAATGTGACCAAACCATCTAAGACGACTTTCTATAATTTTGTTTGTCACATAAGCTACACCAACCCTATCACGGATATATTCATTTCTCGTTTTGTCTCTAAGTGTAAAACGACTCATCCACCTAATAATTCTCATCTCGACAACGCTTAACTTAGTATTATGCATCTCTTTTAACGGCCAGCATTCAGCGCCATAGAGCATTGCAGGTTTCACCACCGTCTTATAAACAGTCTAAGCAATACTTTTATATCACACAAAAGGCCCGAAGCAATCCTCCACTTCAACCAACCAACTTGAATTCTATTATTAACATCCCCATCTATATCACCATCGCTTTGAAGAACTGACCCGAGATATCTAAATCGTTCACACCTTTTAACAATTTGATCACCCAAATTTACACTTTTGTCACTAGAGCTACTACTAATAAAATTACATGCCATGTATTCAGTTTTCAGTTTTAGTTATACTCAAATGAAAGCATTTAGACTCCAATATAGACCTCCATAATTCAAGTTTTTCCTGAGCATTTTCTCTCGTCTTATCCACAAGAAGGATATCATCAGCAAAAAGCATACACCAAGGTACATCCTCCTGTAAATGTCCAGTAAGACCATCCATAACTAAAGCAAAAAGATATGGGCTTAAAGTCGATCCCTGATGTAATCCAACAGAAATAAAAAAATATTTGGTCAATCCTCCTTCAATTCAAACATAAGTAACAACTCTAGAATACATATTTTTAATGACTTGAATATAAGTCATATCAACACCTTTCTTCTCAAGAACTCTTCAAAGGATCTCTTAGAACTTTATCGTAAGTTTTTTCTAAATCAATAAAAATTATATGTAGATTCTCTTTATTATCTCTGAACTTCTCCATCAAACTTCTCAAAAAATGTATAGCTTCCATATTAGACGTGTCTGACATAAATCCAAATTGAATATGAGAAACCTTTGTAATACATCTTAACCTGTGTTCAATTACCCTCTCCCCCATAATTTTAAAGTATGATAGTATGATACATCAACTTAATTCATCTCTAATTTGCACACTCTTGTGCATCCCCTTTATTCTTAAAAATGGAGACCAAAACACTCTTCCTCCACTCCTCAGGCATCTTTTCAAATTTTAAAATAATATTTAGTAAACCAAGAAACTCCCAAATCTCCTCAACATTTCCATACTTCAATTGGGATATCAGCAGGTCCTATAGACTTTCTACCCTTAGTTTTCTTTAAAGTCTCAACTTATTTTTTACTAATGCGGCAGTAAAAATAGACGTTTTATTATTATTAAAGATATTAAGATCACTAAGGTCACTCGAATTTTCAGGAACTTCAATAAAAAATTTATCAAAGTAACTCACTCACCTATGTTAAATATCTTTTTATAAGAAAATCACTTTTTGATTTTCATCTTTAATACACTTTACTTGAGTTAAATCTTTACTTTTCTCTTTGTTTGGCTAGTTTATACATATATTTTTCAGCCTCTTTATTATCTAATATATTGTATAGATCATTAAAAATAAAATTTTTAGCGTCACATATTGTTCTTTTAGACTCCTGTGGGTCATTTCATATTTGTCTCAGTTCTTTATGCTTTTACATTTAAACCAATTTTTATAACATAACTTCTTATATTTTATCTTTGTTTGTACATTATTATTCCACCACTAACTACTTTTTTTAAAGAAATTTCTTCTTTTGATTCTCCAAGTACATCTTCTGCTACTTGTTTAATAGTGTTTATTACTTTATCCCACATAGCATTTGTTTCATCATGAACATCCCAAATTTTGAAATCTTGAATTTTACTCATAAAAATAATTTTATTTGGCTCTTTTAGGTTCTCCCATCTAATTTTACGATGATGAATCCTATTATATTTTTATTTACAACTCTTCATCTTAAAATCTAAAACTAATAAATGATGTTGGGTGCTTAAATCTTCACTTGGAATGACCTTACAATGTTTACAATCTCGACGATCTTTTCTTCTCATAAGAAAATAATCAATGTGTTTTATCTTATAAGTAATATGATGCTCGTCTCTTTTTTTGAATAAAGTATTAATAATAACAAAATCATACGCTAAAGCAAAATCTAAAATAGTTCTACCTTCTTCATTAGTCACTCCAAAACCGTAGCGACCATGAATATTTTTAAAATCTTCTACCACTCTACCGACATGTCCATTTAAATCTCATCCGATAAAAATTCTTTCTTCAAGAGATATCATTTGTATTAAGTTTTCTAAGTCATTCCAGAATTTATCTTTAGACTCTATATCTAAACCTACTTGAGGAGCGTAAGCACTTATAATATTAAAAATCTTAAGGGCTATAATTCTATCTCCAACTCTATTAATTTTTACAATATTATCTTTCAAACTCTTATCTATAATTACACATATACCATTTCTAGTGCGACTCTTACCAGAATACCAAAATTTAAAACCAAGTTATCAATCTCCTTAGCTTTTTCTCCAACTGATTGTCGGCTACCTAACGCAACCCTCCACTTTTCACATCCGAACTTGGGACCGACAATGTGAGTGTTAGTATAATAAACACATTAAAAAAAATCCTTGACATTTTTATTAAACAAAATTAAAGGTAATATAAGCAAGTTTTGAAACGACTAACATGCAATGTTCTGCAGAAGAAATTTTTTTTTTTTTTTTGAATAAGAAATTCACACAAGCCTACTTTGCTTCTATCCTTACAAGGGGCAAACAAAGAATTATCAAAGAATAAGAATATAAAGTCTAAAAAATCATATAATTTTATTAAGGGGCATTTAAATGCATGCCAGAGTACAATTCTTATATATTTACACATATCAAACACCTAAAAAATTCATATTTACATGCATACAACTCAAATCCTTAACATCAAGTGAAATACACTTTTCATGCATAGGTTTATGAGAAAAAGGTTGTATAAGAGTAAATATCAAATTTTGAGTGTTAGAAATACAAATACAAGAGAATTGTGTGGTATGTATGTAAATTTCCCTTTTATTAAAGCATAGCATGGTTGGGAAAAAAAAACATTAAACCATAGGCTGAATACACAAAAACTAAAGAAAATTTTCCAACCTCGCCAGAGCTGTTAAACTTCCATTTAAATTGCTGAAATTGAGATTTTTCTCTCCTCCATCGTTGTCCCAGAAAAACAAGTCCCGCAACTGCCACAGCAACAAAGATGGACCAGAACGTGTTTGTCCCCTTGGCGTGATTATATACAGATATTGCCCGCTTCTTCCACCAAGATTCAGAAGAATCATCATAGCTTTCGTTGTCATCTTCATTCGGCTTGCAACCATCTTCTCTCCAAGAATAATCAAGTTTCTCCTCAGAAGGGTTTCTGGTCACAGCAAGGTCAGAGATGTCATCATGAATTACAGGAAGGCTCACATTAGCCACATTATCAAAAGAACTATTATTGGGAGAGACAAAAAAGTCGTGCTCCTTTTCTGCCATTTTCAGATCTTTCTCTTGCTTTTCGTCTCCCACACTAATATCACAATCTGATAAACTGCGCCCAATACCAAATAGTTGACTTCCATGTAAATCATTGTTTGAGTCACTCTTGCTTTTGTATTTATAAGACTTCTCAGGTTCGGTAACTTCTTCAACGTTATAAATTTCACCGTAATAATTTTCTGCTGGAAGTTTCTTAGGTTCCTGTGATGCCACATCAAAGTGCTTGGACATGAACATTGTCTCAGAACATTCCTGTTCATTTTTGTTCAACTCGTCTTTTTTATGCTGCATGGTTGGATCAAATCCTTGAGGACCGGGTGCTGCAGCATAAGTAGATGCAGTGAGAGAGACGACCTCCCAATCAGTTCCCCGGGTATTTGCTTCATTAATGTCTCTCCTGTTATCTTCCATTTCTTACTATCTAGGCTACAAAAAAAGAATGAGAAAAGATGCAAATTGTCAGATAAAATTTGTAAGGCAAGTGTCAATTAGATTATTCATCACCCAAAAGGCCAAAATCCCAATGTAAAAAAGAGAGAGAGAGAGAGAGAGCATTTCCATAGAAAACCAGTATGAATATCTTGGTAAAATAAATTGTACAACAAGAACAACAAGCTTTTATCCCACTAAGTTGGGCCGGTTGCATGAATCCTTATTCTCCATTGCATCCTATTGAGTGTAATATTTTCATTTAATTCTAATAAATTAAGATCAGTTTTATACAAGTTTTTCTAGGTCTACTTTTGTCTTTCTTAACATAAGTCAACGTCTGCTCTTCTAACCGGATCATCATATAGTAGACGTTTAACGTGACTAAACCATCTAAGACAACTCTCTCTGATTTTGTCCCGTCTCTGGATCTACAACAACCCTATCACAGAAACATTCATCTTGTATTTTGTCTCTAAGTGTCAAGCCACACATCTATCTAAGTATATTCTCATCTCGGCAGCACTTAACTTTGTTTTATTCTTCTCTTTTAAAGGCCAACATTTCGCACCAAAGATCATTGCAGGTTTTACCACCACCTTACAAAATTTGTCTTTCAGTTTAAGCGGTATTTTTCCATCGCACAATAGGACAGAAACATTCCTCCACTTCAACCCACCAAAACCCCCCCAAATTGAATTATACTAATAACATCCCCATCTATATCACCGTCACTTTGAAGAATTGACCAGTGATATCTAAAGCGTTCGCATCTTTTAATGATTTGATCACCCATAGTTACAACTCTGCCACTAGCTCTGCCACTAGAACGAACTACTACCACTAAAATTACATTTCATGTATTTAGTTTTACTTCTGCTCAAATGAGGGTCTTTAAACTCCAATGTAGACCTCCATAATTCAAGTTTTACCTGAACTCTTTCTCTAATCATATCCACGAGAAGAATATCATGATATCATCAGCGAAAAACATACATCAGCGAAAAACATACACCAAGGCACATTCTCCTGTAAATGTCCAGTAAGAGCATCCATAACTAAAGCAAAAAAGATATGGCCTTAAAATCTATCGCTGATGTAATCCAACAGAAAAAGAAAAATATTTGATCAATCCTCCTTCTAGTATACATATCTTTAATGACTTAAATTTAAATTATATTAACACCTTTCTTTGTTAGGACTCTCCAAAGGATTTCTCTTAAAACCTTATCGTAAGCTTTTTCTAAATCATAAAAAATCATATGTAGATCCTCCTTATTATCTTTGTACTTCTAAATCAAAACTCTTAATAAATGTATACCTTCCATTGTAAACCTGCCCGCATAAATCTAAACTAATTATGAGAAATCTTTGAAACATGTCTTAACCTATGTTCAATTATCCTCTCCCATAATTTTAAAGTATGACACATCAACTTAATTCATCTATAATTTGCACACTCCAGTGCATCTAATTTATTATAAAAAATGAGGATCAAAATACCTTTTCTCTACTCTTTAGGCATCTTTTTAGTTTTTAAATAACATTAAAAAGTTTAATAAGCCAATAAACTATCAAATCTCCTAAATAGTTTCACACTTCAATTGCGATATCATTAGGTCCTACTGATTTTCCGCCCTTTGTTTTCTTTAAAGCCTCCTCAACTTCTTTTTTTTTACTTATGCAACGGTAAAAATAAAAATTTTATTATTATTAATGATATTAAGATAACTGAAGTTGATCGTATTTTCTGAAAATTCTTTGAAAAGTTTAACAAAATAACTCACCCACCTATGTTGCATATCTTTTTCTAAGAATTTTTTTTTTATTTTCATCTTCAACACTCGAGTTAAATCTTTATTTTCCTTTTTTCTTTCTTTGGCCAGTTTATACATATATTTTTCACCATCTTTAGTATCCAATTTATTAAAAAAATCACTAAAATTAAAATTTTTAGCGTCACAAATTGTTCTTTTAGACTCCCTACGGACCACCTTATATTTTTCTCAGTTCTCTAAGCTTTTACATTTAAACCATTATTTATAACACAATTTCTTATATTTTATCTTTTCTTGCATTTAGTGTTCGACGACTAACTATTTTTATTTATAGAAACTTTACCTTTTGATTCTTCAAGTACATCTTGTCGCTTGCTTAATAATATTTGTTATTTTATCGCACAAAATTTGTTTTGCCAAACAAACCAACAAATCTTGAAATTTACAATTTTATTTGTGTCTTCTAGGTACTCCTATTTAATTTTAAAACAATGATTACTAGTATTTTTTACCTTATAACTCTTTATCTTAAAATTCAGAAGTAATAATTGATATTGAGTACTTAAATTTTCACTTGGAATGACCTTACATTCTTTACCTTCTCGACAAGCTCTTCTTCTCATAAGAAAATTAATAATATGTTGATCATTAGAATAAAGTGTAAAGTGCCAAAATAGTCCTCTGATTATTTAAATTGGGTCATTTTAGTCTCAACTCTATAAAAGTGTCAAATTAGTCCCTAGATTATTTTAATATGGGGGTTCAATTGTCCCTATTGAAAGCTATTTTACCTCCAATTAAAGGAATATGAGGACTAAATTGATGTTTTTATAAACTCTAGGATTAAAATATACCTCTACAAAATATCAGAGGACTATTTTGACACTTTTCTCGTCACTTTTCTCGTACAGGATATAAAAGATAGGAAAAATAGAATACCATTGAAAGAAAATATATTTCAACAAAAATTGCTGAAAATTGACAAAAACCCATAGTAAATTGCATAAAAATTAGATTAAGAAACAATGTAACGTTTTGCGGTGCCAATAAAAATTCCCTTCATCATAGGTTCTAAATATGCAGCTCCAAGTTCAAAAATTGTCAAAGTAGATTCTCTAAGCTACTTAATCTATAGTAGGCTTGTGACATGCGGCTACAAAACTGGATTTCAAAAAGGACTTAACAAGCTGTTTATCACACCCATTTGGCAAGTTGAACTCTCGTTATAGCTAACAAAAGCTTGATTCAGTACTTTCAGATGTCAGAGTTTGAATACAGGTACAAACAAGAAACAAAAGTTGAGGGAAAAAAAATTAGTTGCAAGTAGTTCTAGTTCTATTAAACTTTTCCATTCACTGCTAAAAATATTATTCAAAAACAAAGGAAAGAAAAACAGATTTGTACACCATAATATAGCTCAGCAATAGCAATTACTTTCATTCTTTGTTCTAAAATAGCTGAAATTTATTAGCCAAAAAATGAATGGCACACCCGAATTCCTAGTGTCACGGTCCTTGTTATAATGACTTGGCCTGGAAGAATAGTTAAATTCCCTATATTATGATCTTACAGGTCATGGATAGGACTGACAAACATGATAAAAATTTTTTTGAATTTAATTGATTTGAAATTGAAATCTATTTGCCATAGCTCAAAGATGAATCACTCAAAATTAGTTTAATGCAGCCAGAAATAGAATATAAGATGTTTATCTTTAGTAATTTTTGTTTTTGCTGAACCTTAGTTCCTTACCAGTACTTTGTAGCCTGTAGGACATGCCATGCTAAAAAAAAATACCTTTAATTAAAAAAATTAGTATAAAATAGAAGATATGATGTAGACTACTCATAAAGGTAATCACAGTTTTGTCCAAAATTCAAGTGAGCCGTTTTGACAGGTCCTATAAAGACCGGTAAAAACATAACTTCCAATTAACAAAAATTGAAAAGCTTTATCTACTGTTACCAAAATGACACTGACATAGGTTACTAGCCGGTATGGAAAGGTCAGGAAATGGATTAAGAATGAGAAATGGAGTGGTAGACGATGCGGCAGTTAAAAATTGGTAAAATCTAAGGTTGGAAAGCAAGCTGGAAGTTGGAACAGCAGGTTGGCAGTAAGGCTGGAGGCGTGGGAGGTCCTCTGGCGTTAGGGAGAGTTCACCACCTGGAACCAATAAGGTTATAGGCACACCACTTGAGAGAGATCATTAAGGTTATAGGAACACTACTTGAGAGAGATCAAATGATACAGCACCCCGCAAAAAAAAAATTAAAGAAAAATGGTCTGATGCACAAACCAAATCAATCAAGTGTCCAAAACAAAAGTTTACGACATCTTTAAATACCCAAAGCCAAAAAAAAAAATGATACAGCACCCCGCAAAGCACACTACTTTGCGTTATAGCCACACTACTTGAGAGAGATCATTAAGGTTATAGGCACACTACTTGAGAGAGATCAAATGATACAGCACCCCGCAAAAAAAAAAATTAAAGAAAAATGGTCTGATGCACAAACCAAATCAATCAAATGTCCAAAACAAAAGTTTACGACATCTTTAAATACCCAAAGCCAAAAAAAAAAACCCTAAATAATAGTCAGAATATGTAAATTGGAACCCTAAAGGGGACGGCCAACCCATGAAGGCTAGAAAAGCCTGCTCCGGTCCCACCTCTACCCGCCTAGAAGGCTGAATGGTAGAAGCTCCGCAAAACTCAGTCTGCATAAGGATAAGTTATTAGCAAAAGCGTTTCTAGCATTAATTCTTCCCTTCTCTTCCATCTGAGAGTTGTTTTTTGACTATTTTGTAATCTTCTTCGACTCTATAGCTTGAGTATTTAACATTAATAATCATTGATTGAAAGCAATGTTGCTACCATTGTTATTGCATCCAACATTTTCTCAGTAGGCAAATAAAATACCTTCTCCAATCTAAGTTTATTGGAGCAATTGAAAAAAATAATGTCATGGGTGAGCATACTTTAATACCTTTCCTAATCTAAGCCAATATTTTGCGTTTGCCAATTTATTTCAAGTGGTTAAATTACAGTTGAAATTACAAGTTTATAATCTTTTATCAAAATCCAACTATAGCAATGTTCTATGGAAACGATTCAAAATAAGAAATACTATTGCCATAATATTAAAAGGATCATTAATCTTACAGATAAAACTAAACTTACTGAACCAAATTACTAGCTTCGCATATTGCAACCAATAGTGATTAGCGGAAATAGAATCCTTTTTGCTTAAATCTTGGGCAACGATAAATGCAAATATCCCGAAATCAATGGCAGATAAGGAAGATCAACTTATTTAGAAATCTGATAAATGTTGAGATTAGATTTAATCCTAAAAGATAGATAACTTCACCAAAAAAACTGACTTCCTTTGTTATAATTCAAGGCTGAGATATTTCATCAAAAGATTTTATTAAATCAACATAATCTATTGAAACACTTCATATTTCATCAAATCAAGTAATACATTCACCATATAAGGGGAATACAAATACTCCTTCCAAAACAGTTCTAAATTTAATGAATTTTAGCCCAGGAAGTAAAGCTTGAAAATTTAACAACGAAAATATAAATAATTTCATAAATAGTATTTAAGCATTTTCTCTGATTATAAGGAAATGTATATCAAACATATGCTTGGAAGACCAAAAAGGCGGCATATGTTCAATGGTTTATATCATGCTATAGTATAAACTACCTTGAACAAATTAATAATTACTACTAGAAACAAATAAATTGTTAAAGGAAATATCTCTACTTCCATTTATCCTCATCAAACCATTTAAATGATAACAAATTTACGAGATTGAAATAGAGGCTTTGACAAAATATAAATGAAGCCTCAATAAGTAAAAATTTTCTAGATATTTGAATACAAATAAATTAAACAAATCTACCTAAAAAAAGAAAGGAATCACACTAGTAAAATTTTTATAAACTTTATCACATTCTTCTATAAATAACAACCAAAACTGATGTTCCAAAAGAAAAGCATAAATAATACACTCTTCTGCAGCACTTCAACTGCCTCCCTCCAAGGTTGACTTCAGCCTTGGACCAGCATCACAATATATTAAGATATATTAATAGGGACACTACTAATAATAGTCTGAATCACAAGAATAACTCTTAAATATCATAAAAGGAACCATCTAATGAAGCTGATATCATTAAATTTCAGAAACAGTATGACAAATCAGAAATAAGAAAATTAAGATATCCTACAAAAAAGTTAATAATGATTCTTCTCTTCTGCATGAATCATGATTTGCATGAATCATGATTATGATGATCAATGGACTGTGGAGATAGCAAAGTAAAATAAATGCATGATACTTTGCATAAAATGATGATTTTTTGCATGTGAGGGTGTTTGGGCACATACATACGCAGGCATATATTGGGAATAATTTGAAAATAAATTCAAAAAACAAACTAAAAAATATTAAACATTAAAAAAAATCAACACATTAAAAGGCTCATCTTTTGCAGCCAAAACGAAATTTACTGCGATTAGATTATCAAGAATTACAGAAATGAGCCTCTAATTTCATTGATACGAGCACAACACGACGGTGAGAAGCTTCATGTACTATTTACAGCCTTATATTTATATTCCCTCAACTCGTATACTTTTTAATTCACTTCAATGAGGCTTACAATACACAACCAAACTTCATTACCAGTCTCTTGAGTATGATTAAGCATTGCATTTCAGTGAGGGTTAGAGGTATTATGTTTATCTTCCCACTTTCCCCATTCCATGCACTCATTATTACATCTGAAATATCACAAAATCATATGCTGCAATTACTCATAACCTTAATCTTATCTAGATAATCATTTCATTAGTACTAAAGCTCAATCCCACAAGAAATAATATATATATATTACATATTCAAAATTGCAAAAACGTAGCTGGATTAAAAAATGCAAACAGGCTATTTCAAACTAAGGAAATCCCTAGTTGATACGAATACAGTGCCTGAAAAACAATAAAATGTCAACAAAATAGGGAGAAAATGGAGAAATCATGCTCCACAACAAACTGACTTATGATAATTAACCCATACCAAATAGGGAAAATTTCTCCAATTAGATAATCACCATAAGAACTATTAGTCACGCAATTCAAACGGATCAAGCTAAACTAAAAGCACAAAAATATATAAATAACTAAATGGATCAAAGTAAGAAGATGCAAACCCTAAACCACAAACGAAAAACGAAGAAGTTCCTACAAATCCCGTGCGGAAAGCATCGAAGCGCGCCGCAAAAGTGGATGAAAATCAAAAAATAAAGTCTTGAAATAAGGAAATCATGCACAAGAACAAATCTTTTTGGCAATTAGATCATTACCACTGCAACAGAAGGAAAAAAAACGGGAAGAGATATAAGAATCGGAGGTTCCTCCAACTCCAAGATAAAGTAACTTGGGACGGAAGTTATCCGCCCCGAAGTGTTCTTATACCAGAAAAGCGCGGATTAATTTTATCGCAGCGGGTTGTATCGAGTTATCCTCTTATCTGTCTGTGAAGTTTTTAATGTGGTTCTGCCTCCGATTTTAATTTTGTTTATTTTCTTTAAATAGTTGCAAAATTATAATCAAAAGTAGAAAATTAAATAATTATTTGCTTATAATTATGCTTTTATGGATTTTAAAAAAGTTTCTTGTAAAATTTTGATAGGCGTAATTGGTTTTCCATAAAATGGGATTTTAATAATTGGAAATATTTTTTAGGTGCTCGGGCGGCGTTTTGCCGTACCGTTTGGTTCGCGTTTTTCGCCACTTATCCGAAAGTGCGTTTGGATTTTTACACTAAACGCAGGTTGCGGGTCGACTCCTACGGCCAGCCCGCGGGCCGCGTTTCAGGATAAGCAGCTTATCCTGAAACGCACAAGCTACCCCGACCCTAAATCTTGATACACAGAAAAGCCCAATTTCAAAAAAATAAACATCAATGAAATAATTTCTTTATTTATTTAAATCAGCATAGTTTTTAAATAATACAAAAAATATTAATATGTTTAAATTGAAAAAAAAATTACACTTTAATATAATTACATGTTATGATATGTTGAATACTTTTAATGCATAGAGTTTTGTATCGCTCTTGAATATATACAACTCGGTAAAGAATATGTATTTATAAGGGAAAGTGGAAGGAAAAGATGGATGTGAAGTTTGAGTGATTGTCTCTGGTTTCTATCCCTCGAGCTTGAACCTCTAGCCAAAGAAAAGGCTTGGAGAGGGGTGATTGGATCACAATTTTTCTTTTAAAGAGAGAAAAATAGAGGTTTTCGTAGAAAGCGTCTCTTTCTTCTCTTGACATCCCTTTCATACACAAAGGAGAAAAAAGATAAGAAATACAATTCACACAATAGAATTCCCATCGGTGATATATTGGTGAGAAAACTGTGATGTTGGTGTTAGGTAACGCTTCTAAAGAAGTATAAACTTGTGTTCTTGAAAATAATGATGTTCCTCCCTTATAGTTGTCTCTTCACATATGGGTTAGGTTGAATTTAATGGAAAGATAAATCTATGTGTTTTTAGCTTTGGCGAGTGATTTCAATTCATCCACTTTGATAGATGGACTCGGTTCAACCACTCCGGCATGTAGGCTCAATTCATTTTTGCTGGTACATAGAAATAATCGTGTATACATGACATTATATAAATAGGAATATAAATATTCATGCGCGCGTGTGTATATTTATATTGTGTGTAACTCCCAAGTGCCTTGGCAAAACTTCATCCAAAATCTACTAATTTTTTCACTTGGTCCCACAAAATAAACCGAAAATCAAAATATTAAACAGTTTTAAAATATATTTAATAAATTTAAATTAAAATAAAAGTGATAAAAATAACATTAATGCTGCAATTAAAATGTTGTGCATAACCTCCTCACAATACTCAAAAGAACATAATTTCTAACAGATCAGAAGTAACACCCTTAAAACTATTAGCCAAGTAACCCTCAAAGTCAACTGTACATATCTCTGCCGCCCATAGCCCACCACGATTACATTAGGGATATAAATATAAATATGCACCACATAATTTTTTACATTTATATACATTCCAGTTTTATGATCAGATCATGCATAAAAGCAGCGGGCCGACCGCTGTTCCGGTGAGAATTGGGCCGACGGAGAAGCAGCGGTTGTGGGGAGGTGGGCTGGGTATGAGGGAGCGGCGGGCTATGGCGGCCCTAAAAATCATGAAGTGCTCGGTTGAGTTGCCGTCGAGGATGGCGTGGTTGTATGGGCAGCCAACGGCGATGCCATCCTTTAGCTTTGGGAACTGCTGAAGGTCAAACTGGGAATTATTATGATATATCAGTGACTAATTAAATGTAAGTTTAGGCATAAGATCTATCACTTTATCTCTATATATATTAAAAAAGTGTGTTTTATTTTTTTAAAATTAATAATAATGATATTTTATTTATTTACATATCTACATCAATGAGTAGTAATGAATGGTGTCCTCTTCATAAAATGTTTCTCCTACTTATAGGAGGGATGGTACAAGAGTGATATTAGATTTTTTTATCCTCATCTGTGATAAGGTATTTTTAGTATTTTACATGTATAATCTTATTGTCATGTTGTTACTTGGCTGGGTCGGCTAAGTTTAATTAACAACGAGTCGACAAGGTCAGCTCGATTGTTTGAGTATGATCGATTGATTTAGCCTGGTTGGATATCTTAAATCCCTGGTGAGGAGCCCTTAGAGTTGGCATGGGATGGTTGGAGATATATTTTCCATTGGATCGGCTCTATGGGGAGTTAGGTTACCGCATCGGGTCTATTTTACTCTAATGGGTATCTATACCCCTCTTTTCATCAATAAAATTAGGTCCTCTCATATCTTTTCATGTTATCAGAGTCATACCAATCTTCTTCGGTATGACGACTTCTTCTTCTTGCTCCCAAAAAAATATCATCTGCCTCATCTGCTCTTGTTCCAACCGGAATCGATGACACTTCCTCCCTCATCACTGACCACAAACTCAAGGGCCAAAACTACCTCTAGTGGTCTCAATCTGTCATGATGCTTATCTGCGGCAGAAATAAGGACGACTATATCACTGGTGATGTCGTCGCTCTGACCAAGGATGACCTAAAATTTTGAACATGGAATGCAGAAAACCACATGGTCATGTCGTGGTTAATCAATTTCATGACCAACGACATCGACGAAAATTTTCTTCTCTACGACACGGCCAAGAATACTTGGGATGTTGCTCGAGAGACATAATCTCGCTCAGATAACGCATCCAAGCTCTTCGAGATCGAGTCAATCCTCCATGATCTTCGCCAAGGTGATCAATTTGTGACTCAGTATTTTAATGCCCTCTCACGTTACTGACAGCAGGTTGACATGTATGAAGTTCATGCCTGGTCAAGCACTCCGGACTCCAACTTATACCGTTAGATCATCGAGCAAAAAAGGATATTCAAATTTCTTCTCGGTCTCAACAACTCTCTCGATCATGTTCGTTATCGTGTATTAAGCTTCAAACCACTACTGAGCATTCGTGAGGCCTTCTCCGAGGTTCGTCGCGAAGAAAGCCGCCAGAAAGTCATTCTTGGGCCTATCTCCACCTTGCCCAATCTCTCTGTTGACGCCTCCGCCCTTGCAGGTCGGGTTCCTCCGCCTCGACACAGCGCCAACCCATCACGCAAAGGTCGTCCCTAGTGCGACCATTGCCGCAAACCAGGTCATAATAAAGACATGTGTTGGGGGCTTCATGGAAAGCCAGCCGATTGGAAGTCTCAGTCTAATCACGCTCCCCGTGACAACAGCGTTGTCGCTGCCAATGACCTTCATGCACCAGCGCCCAGTTCATTCAGCAAAGAGCAACTAGATTTGTTGCACAAACTGATCGGCAAACCACCTGATCTGGCTGTTCCCGACCCCATCGTCGACCTGCTCGCGCATCAAGGTTCGTTCTACTATGTCTTCACAGTCAATCAAGGATCCCCCGGTCAGTGGATCATCGATTCCGGTGCTTCTCATCACATGACTGGTGATGTCTCCCTTCTCCATGGCTATATGTCGTGCGGAGACAACTACACCATCCGCGTTGTCGATGGCTCTGTCTTTAAAGTCATCGGCTTTGGCTCCATGTGCATCAACCAAAACATTCTATTCCGATCTATGCTTCATGTTCCTACTTTAAATTGCAATTTATATCCATCAGAAAGTTATTTGAGATCTATTGCTAGATCTTTCCCTACCATGTGTGAATTTCAGGATGGGGACTCGGTGACGACGATTGGCAATGCTGAGATGTGCTCTAGTCTCTACATCATCAACGACACTTCACCACCACGACCTTGCTGCAGACATTTGTATACCCATCATTCTGTCTTCAATTCTAATGTTAATAAAGATTCTGAGATCATGTTATGTCATTTTCGTCTCGGCCATCCAAATTTTATGTATCTTGCAAAACTATTGCCAAATTTATTTATCAATAAAGATGTTCGTTCTTTTCAATGTGAATTTTGTCAACTTGCCGAACACACTCGCACGTCATTTCCACATAATGGTTACACCTCTTCTCGGCCCTTTGAACTCATTCACAGTGATATCTGGGGCCCATCCCGTGTATCCCATGTTACATCCCTTACCGGGATTCATTGGTTTGTCTCCTTTATTGATGATCACACTCGACTAACGTGGCTATTTCTTATGAAAGATAAATTTGCATTCTGTCACATACTTGAACAATTTTACTCAATGATCCAAACACAATTCCAAACCTCCATCCAGGCACTCAAGTCTGATAATGCAAAGAAGTACTCCGCTTCCGTCCTCGGCTCTTATCTTTCCTCTAAAGGCGTCCTCCATCTCAATTATAGCGTCGACACTCCTCAACAAAATGGGATCGCCGAATGCAAGAACCGCCACCTTCTCAAGGTGGCCCGCCGTCTCATGTTTTCCTATAACGTGCTTAAGGTTTTTTTGGGTGACGTTGTATCCGCTATAGCCTAACTCATCAATAGGATGCCTTCTCGGGTCCTCAAATTTCAAAGTCCTGTCCAAATCCTTCTCAAATCATTTCCCCACACCAAGGCAATTACCCAAAATCTACCTACCAAAGTATTTGGTTGCTCCTCCTTTGTTCACAGTCATTCACACGATCGCAGCAAACTTGACCCTAAATCTACTAAATGCTCGCCTCTTCAAAAAGGGTATAAGTGCTACTCTCCTCTCACAAGAAAAACCCTCACAAGTGCTACTCTCCTCTCACAAGAAAAACCTACAATACTATGGATGTCACATTCTTTGAAAATCAGCCTTACTACCCCAATTCTAATATTCAGACTTTAAGGGAAAGGGAATATCAGTCTTGGGGGGACAACGAGTTCATACCACCACACATCAAATCTTTGTCCCTTGAACCGAACTCATTATCTCCCGACTCAGATTCAAAAAGTTCATCCAATTCACGTAAAAACGTACCTAACAATCAGTTGACGTCTAGTCCTCAAGCGTTCAACTCACACATAGATCACCCAACGCAT